CTTCCAACAGTTCCTGATTTCCCCCCCGTTTTGAGACTCAGGGCTGGTTCCCGAAACCCTTCCCCTCAGGTCCCCCCTCCGTTTTGGGGCCCAGGGCTGGTTGCCCACCTTTTGGGGGGCGCGGATGGCAGTGATGCAGGCGGGGTCCACGAGGGGCTTGGGGCGCCGGGCCGACTCCTCGAGCAGCCCCTGCCACTGGCGGGGCAGCCCCGTGAAGCGCTGCTCCGACGCGTCGTACCCCGTGTGCACCCGGTGCTCGAAGTTGGACGGGGCCGAGATCTCCACCCGCTTCTTCTTCTTGGAGAACATGGTGGGGGGGGCACCTGGGAATCGGGGGGAAAAGGGACAGGTGAGTGGGACACCTGGGAACTGGTGGGGAGAGGTGAGTGGGACACCTGGGAATGGGGGGGACATGGAACAGGTTCACTGCCATCCCACAGTTCCAGCTGGGAAGGTTTGGGGAATGTGATCCCATTAATCGTCACCAAATCCCTCTCTGGGAATGGTCCCAAAATCCCAGGAATTTGGACTCGATCTGTTTTTCCCACTTTTGCTGCTCCTGGGGGCCGATCTCCTGCTGTTTCCCTCCTTTTTTTCCATCTGCTCCCACAGGCTCAATCCTGCCTCCCAGGCTCTGGAATTCTGCCGCCTCAAAATCTTTCTCTCCGTTCTTCCCAATTTTTGAGGTTTTTCTTCTCAAACCTCTCATCCATCATGCAAGTTTTTCTCCTCTTACATGTTGCTCAAAATTCGCTGGAATTTTGCAAATTCTCTGTTTTCCCTGCTCATCCCGGACTGATCCCTCCTTCATCTTTCCAGGATCCTCTCTGAGTTCCCAAAATCCCGTTTCTGGGTGGAAAATCCTCCTGGATTGCAGAAATAATGGCCAAATTCAGAGAGGGGCGATTAACACCCACTGGGTTTGGGTTTTTCCTGCCGAGTATTCCATGGGAAAGATTCCCAGAGGAACCAGCTGCAGCATCCCGTGACTATAGACACCAAATCCATGTGATTTCACACCAAAAAAATCCTTTTTAGGGGCTGGTGGGGGAGGAAAACCAGCAGCCCTGGGTAGGGGGGGCAGAGGGATCCTGGGGCATTCCAGAGGGTGGGATGTAGGTCAGGGGGAGGTTAACCCTCCCCCACATTCCTCAGCCCTTTACAGGTCACATTCCCTAGATCCCGCTGTGTTTAATTAGTCACCAATTAATGAGGAACCGACTCAATACACGGGGTGGAACGTTCTCATATTTCCCTCCAAATTCCCCCCAAATCAGTGCTGTTCTTGCCGTATTCTGGTGGGAATTGTGGTGGCACCTTCAGTATAAAAATTAAAGGGAAAAATAACAAGAATAAAAGCTGCAGGGAGGTAATTCCTGCCCTTCCCAGAAACCCCAAATCTTCTTTCAGAAAGAGCCATCGCAGTGGAAAATCCCTGAGCCGGCTTTTCCTTCCACAAAATCGTTTTCCTGGTGCCAGCAGGGGTAGGAAGAGACGCGAATCTCTCCAATTCTCCATTTTCCACAAAAAAAAAAAAAAATCCACCTCAGCAGCACCTTGGGATCCTCGGGAAGAGGCTCCTGAAGAAGGCGTGGACGGATCAAAGCTCATTGAGAAGCCCTGAAGACTCCCGGAATTCCAAGGCAACCAGTGAAGGTTCCGTTTTCCTGACCTGCACCGATCATCCCGAGGATTCCTGGAGCTCCCTCCCAGCTCTGGGATAGCATCTGATATCCCAAATCCCAGCCAGCCCTGCCAGGGGTGGGTTGGGAGGCATGGCTCCAGGTGTTGTTTTCCTTAAATAAAACCCTGGGAAGGAAAGCAGCACCAGGCGGGTCCCATACCCGGGACAAATCCCACGATTCCCCCCATGGGGTCACATTCCCGGGGCCAGGAGGGCGGAAGGACGTGGCTGGGCTGTTCCGGAGGATTCCGGAGCCGTGCTGGGAAGGGCGGGTTGGACTGGAAGGGCTAGATCTGCTGGGAGGGGGAGGAGGAAGAGGAGAAGGAAGAGGAGTAGAGGTGTTGAAAAACCTCAGAAAACCAGCCCCGGAGAAGAATCCTGGAATTCCAGGAATCCGGTGACCCCTGTGGAGGCCACACAAAGTCAAAAGGGATTTGTTTCCTTCCTTAAAGGAGAACTTCCCGGAACTGGGACATCAAAGGTTCTGGGAAGGGGATCAGCAGGTTCCAGGGATTGCTGGGAAAGTAGGGAGGGGAGAAAGAGGAGGGGGGAAAAAGAAAGGGAGGGAAGGAGAAGGAAGGAGCAGAAAAAGAAGAAGGGAAGAAAAAAAATGAAAGAACAAGAAGAGGAAAAGGGATGAAAAAG